TAAAGCATCATGGGATATGTAGTCCATTTGCCGAAGCCAGTGGCAACCATGGTGGCAATGTCTATGGTGGCAACACTGGCAGTTAGCCCGAAAACAGTGGCACTTGTGACCAATAACGGCAGGTGTCAGCGGAAGTGCCAGTATGAGATGCCGAAGTCAGCCGAAGTCATCCGAAGTCAGTGACAACACTGACAGCTAGCCCCGGAAACAGTGGCACTTGTGGTGCCGAATGACACTTACCACCGGAAGTGCCATTAGTAGGTGCGGTGTTACGATTTGAGCTCGGCCCTGCTGAACAAGTTGGCAAACGAGACCATCAAGAATGTCACTGAATGCATTTTTGTCATGTGTTTAATGAGACAAAAATAAAAAAATCAAAGCCAAATAATTATTTTCAAATCATGTAGTACAGTTATATCAAGAAGCCAGCTAAAAGAAGCAGATGGTACAATGCTACTGTCGAGCTAATGGCAGAACACACAAAATTCATGTCTAAAATAAGCTTTGCTGTCATTTTAGCATTATTAGCAGCTTACTGCTTTGCTGTGAACCTCATTTCTATATAGAGAAGGATCTTACTCCTCAGTCAAAGTCTTTTGGAAAATTCCTCTTTGCTGCCAGAGGTTTCTGAAGCACTCCTCTTTAAGTGCTCCATGCAACAGACTTTCCCCACTGATGTGGGAACATTCCTGAGAAAAATAAAATTGAACCAGACGCTTTGAAGATCCTCTGATGCTGGGGGATGGTGTAAAGAATCTTGTGCGTTAATACACTCTAGAACCGAATATTTTGACTTATCTACTTCTAACTTGGGCATTACTGAACTTGGGCTACAAAATCAATGCAAGGAAAAATGGCAGATTCACAAAACTGATTAGCAGAAAATCATGACCTTGTTTACCAGTTCCACATCAAATGCAGTGGAACTGCATTTGCAGAACAGTCTATTGATTCTTGTCTAGAATGAATTGCCTGCTCTAGACAAGAACAGGCAATTGAGAAAAATGAACAGACTGAAAAATATAACGCAAAAAGAATACAAAGATATCTATGCAGGACCGGGACAAATTAAATACAAATTTTTGCATTCCTAGACGCTCAAAGTACACAAAAAATGTATTCAAGGGCTAAAAAAGTGGATTTTGCATGACATGTCGCCTTTAAAATGAACCTGTGCTTCAGTTTGATCAAAACTGAAGCATAGACATACAGCAGGTGAAAACAGATCAAGCTTCTTTTCTGAACCATATGAATTGTGTGGTGAAACAAAGACCAGTGGCAATGATCTGCATTCAGATGTCTTCAGTTTGATTAACACATGATTATTTCTTTCATGCTCCCTCAGCTTGGTGTGGTTCTGAGAATCTCTGCGTGTCTTTGCAGGAGAGCCCAGCGCGCTGGTGGTACTGGTGGAGGAGGAGCTGGTTGTCATAGACCTGCAGACGGAAGGCTGGCCTGTTATTCAGACACCTTACCTGGTTCCGCTCCACAGTTCAGCCATCACATGCTCCCACCATGTGTCTGCCATTCCCCTTAAACTATGGGAAAGGATTATTGCTGCTGGAGTTGTCCAGAACACTCAGTACTCAAAAAAGGTTCCCATGTTGGCAGGAAGTTATTTTTATTCCTTCATGAATTTAAACGTGATCTGTTTAATTATTGTGTAATTATTGTTTCATCCAAGATTTCTTTTCCATAAACTAGACTTTCCTGTAATATTGAAAAGCTTTTTAAGCAACAGATCTCCATTCACTGATGGAAAAACTGACATTGCACAATATACTCTACAGTCATATTTTTCCTGTTTTAACATGATGGACTTCCTTGTTTTCCTGTTAGCCTTGGCCGATAACAGGAGGTCAGAACCTGGCCCCAGATCCTCCACAGAGGGACCTGTTGCTCACCGGGTCAGTTCATTTCTTCTTTTTCACATGTTCCACAAATCTACCTTAAAATACAGCACATGTTAACAGTACATTCTTTATTGGTTCATGCAGACATGAGGATGGAACTGTACGCTTTTGGGATGCATCAGGAGTTTGCCTGTATCCTCTGTACAAGCTGTCCACAGCGGCAGTGTTCAATGCAGATGCTGACCTTAATGACAACATGAGCCAAGGCGCTGAAGGAGAGTGGCCACCCTTCCGAAAGGTTGTGTGTTCTGCCATCTACATTTAGCTTCTTTAGAATGAGAAGTAGCAGATACCCAGTGGAAGGCTTTCTTCTACTCTGGTGGTTGGGGTACTAATATGGAAACTTTCGACTGAAAGACTTTTATGTTCTGATTTAACAGTTTGTTTGTTTTTTTTTTTTTTTTTTTTACATTCTTTTTATGGTGCAGCAGCAAGAAGATCCTGGGTTCAAGTCCCAAAATGGGGTCTTTCTGCACGGAGCTTGCATGTTCTTTCTGTGCATGCATGAGTTCTTTCTGGGTGCTCTGGCTCCCCCCTACCTTCCATGACATCACTGTTTGGTTTCTTGGTCTCTCTTTATTCTCTTTAGTTTTGTGTGTGTGTACCCGCGTTCTGTGTTGCCTTATGATGTATTAGTGAACTGTCCAGGGCGTACATCTCCCCCACTCTTTTGGGTAATGGCTAAGTATCCTGGTTGTGTCATTTCTTTACAGGTTGGCTGCTTTGACCCATACAGTGATGACCCAAGGCTTGGAATCCAGAAGATCCATCTATGCAAATATAGTGGCTACCTTACTGTTGCTGGCACTGCAGGACAGGTGATGACACACATAACATTGTTTGAATTTATTAAACACCTTGGCAGATCCCCAAGGTTAAAGATATTGTTGGAACAGCAATAGTTGAAAATATTAATGATATTTATCTTGATAAAGTGGACAAAAGTGAAAGACAGTTTGTACAAAGTCTCAAAACAAAACCTTAAAGTGGCATGAATATGGCATTTATTAAGAACATCATAGACTTGATTTCTGAGCCATTTACATGTACATACAATCTGTCATTTATAAGAGTCCATCAAAACTGCTAAATTTTAGGATCTCTTATAACCGTGAAATTTAGGTTATAAATTGAAGGCTGTAATTATAGATCAACATAATGCCCCGTTTCCATCGGCTCTACTTCAGCGTCTCGGCTCTACTTCAAAGTGAACTCGTTTCCACAGGCCCAGTGTTCTGACTATCAGTGCTTCCTCGTCAGATTTTCCTACCGTAGCACAGGATAGAGAGCTATGTCTATCTGTCAATGCTACGCATCCACAACTGCTACTGTCATGTTTACAAATTGAAAACTATTGCGCAGGGGTCCCCAAACTTTTTCCTGAGAGGGCCACATACCTTTTCCCTTCTCTGGTGGGTGACTGGAGTCAGTTTGTAACAGAAAAAGTGTGACAGCTGCAGGAGTGCCTAAATGTAAAAATGTATTGTTTTCCAGAAAGCACAATCAAATAACTCTCTCTGGGTTCTTCACAGAACAAAACAGTTTGAACTTCTGTCCAGGGTAGGAGTGGCTGACTGGACTACAGACTGAAGCACATACTGTATATAGGACGGACCTAGGCTGTTATAATTTAACAAAAGAAAATATCCATCCATCCATTTTCTGTACACCCTTGTCCCTTATTGGGGTCGGGAGGGTTGCTGGTGCCTATCTCCAGCTAACGTTCCGGGCGAGAGGCGGGGTACACCCTGGACAGGTCGCCAGTCTGTCGCAGGGCAACATAGAGACAGACAGGACACACAACCATGCACGCACACAAACACACTCACACGCACACACTCACTCACACCTAGGGACAATTTAGAGAGACCAATTAAACTGACAGTCATGTTTATGGACTGTGGTAGGAATCCGGAGTACCTGGAGAGAACCCACCATGCATAGGGAGAACTTGCAAACTTCATGCAGAAAGACCCCGGGCCGGGAATCGAACCCAGAACCTTCTTGCTGGAAGGCAACAGCTCTACCACATGGAGCATAAAATCAGCCAACAAAATCATTCAGACTTTACTTATTTTATTCACTTTCAGTGCTGAAAGGAGACGCTTTTACCATTACAATCGAGAAGAGTTTCTAAAAAAAGTCTGTGCAGCGTCTGAGGAGAAGGAGGAGGTTAGCTGATTATATGGACTGAAGACACTCCCTGAAATCACACCATGTCTCTGTGGCCTGATAAGTTTCTGTTTACTGAGAAATGGGCCTTAGCGTCTAACAAAATCAAAAATGTAACTCTTTACAATAGGCCCCTTTGTCTAACAGCATGCAACTCTTTCTCGACCTTGGTAAAGCGTCTCAACACCATGCATGCACAGGGAGAACATGCAAACTCCATGCAGAAGGACCCTGGGCTGGGAATCGAACCCAGAACCTTCTTGCTGCAAGGCAACACCTCTACCAATCGCGCCACTGTGGAGCTCACAAAAGAAAATATATCAAATATAATTTTTATCGACCGCGACAGCCTTATCCAGTGAAATCCCTCAGTCTTCCTTGGCCTGCCCCTGTCCACCAAGGTTATAAACAGCACCATTTCAGCAAACCGGAGTCCGGGAAAAATGAGCGGATACGAGACGAGGCAGGTTAGAAAAACTACGACAACAAAAGCTGAAAAGCGCATAAGCCCATTCAGAGAAATGTGTCAAACTAACCAATACTAACCAACCAAATTACCTCGAAACTCCTCGAAAAGAAGTCGGTGGAAACGTTCTCAAAGCAAGCCAAGTAGAGCCAAGCCGGTGGAAAAAGGGCATAAGCGCTTCTGCGGTTTTTAATAATTCCACTAAATGAATCAATTTAAGGATTTTATTAATCAAGCCATTCAAAAGAAAATTTATTTATTTTATTTTATTTTTTTAAACCCAGCCCTATCAGATGATAGGTTTGTTTACACTGGTTCCTGTTGGATCTGAGGAGACGGCAGATAATCTGAACTTTCATTGGCTGGCTGACCTGAGCATCTCTCTGTACCCACATTTAAAAGCAGAGTTTTGTGCTTTCAGCATCTTACGCACCTCCTTTGTCATCCAGAGTTTCTGATTTGCCCTTGTGGCGACGTTCTCCATGCACTTAAGGATGTACGCAGACACCGATTCGGCACACTCCTCAACTTTGGTGTGATGGTTTTCAGTTGCAGCTTCCCTGAAGACATCTCAATCTGTACATTCAAAACAGTCCTGTAATGCTGACACGAATCCTGCAGGCCAGACTCTCACCTACTTCTCAATGGGTTTTCTTCTGATGAGCAATAAAGTTCAGAAAGATGGTCTGATGAGCCAAAGTGGGGGCACGGTGCTGTCTTGAATCCTGCCTTAATTTTTGTGTATTATCTATCCTGTGTATTTGAGCTTCTAGTTGCAAAGTCCACATGCTGATGGAAATGAGGGAGAACTGTCTTCATATTGGCCCAATTGAAGTCTCCAGCAACAATAAGAACACCCTCTGGATGAATAGTTTCCAAGTCACTGATGGAACTTAGAGGACACAGAGAGGCTCCTTAATGTTGGCAGTAGGAGGAATATAAATAGCAGTGATGATGAATTTAGTGCCAAACTTCTAAATTCATTAGTGTTTGGCTAATGAAACACAAATGTTCTAGTGTAACTAGTTCATCTAGTTTGAACATCTCAAACTAGGTGGGTTTCTTAGTGTCCACATATGCTTATTTATTTATTTTTATTCCTCCATGTTTCTGTGTGTCTGATTTTCTGTGGTTGTAGATTCTGATGCTGGAGCTGAATGATGAGGCAGCAGAGCAGACAGTGGAGGCTAAAATTGTGGATTTGTTGCAGGGACAAGAGGGATTCCGCTGGAAGGTAGGACGAGTCCTGAAACAGTCTCACCATTTACTTATCAAAATGGCCTAAAGGGTTTAATTTATTCAAATGTTTCACCCAATAAGTTTATTTAGTCAGTTATCATTTAATGACACCTGGCTATAACACTGCAGCTTTTAGTAATGAAGTACTATAATAAGTATGGTAAAGACAGTTACAAAGTTTTGCCATCGAAAGAAGCTATCCTAATTGACCTAAAATGGGATAAGTTTATTTTGATTTCACGCCAGTGTAAAAAAAAAAAATGCATGTCTATTTATATGGTGTATGTTAACTACTGGTTTCAACTGTAAATCTATTAACCTGTCAATATCCATAAGAGCACTAAACAAAATCATTATATTGGACAATTAATTTTGTACACAACTGCAGCTGTAGGAGATATAGTTTTTTAAATACATATTTCATTCTATTTGATAACTGAACGACAGAACGAGGCATTTAGTTCAATGTTTGTCATTTATTGAACTTTCATAAACTACTGTGCACTCTGCAGTGAGTGCCCTATCAAAGAAAAATTAACACAGTGACAAACAGGTGAACAACTCAAAACCACTTGTATTCCTGTCTCTTGCTGTTGGTTTTACACCACAAACAGACCTGTTCCCATGGCAACCTAGTGATAACAAATCCACTAGCAGTTGCAGCAGAGATTATGTTGAAGCATAAAAGGAAAGCATGCATTTTTCCCCACAAAGAAAATAAAATAAAACTCCAAACACAACATTCAGTCTGTTACAGTATTATATTTTCAGGCTTGATGTTTGATGTTTATTTTGTGAGGTAGGTCTTTATTTGGAGGGGTGATATAGGCTGCGTTCACATCCTTAAAGACAGTGTGTGAAAAAAACATCTGTGCGTGTGAAAAAACATCTGTGCGTGTGAAATACTGGATTTGTAACTCGTGTAAGCATCTTTGTGTGTAACTTTGGATAGTTGTAGCTGTGAAACATGATTTGTAAACCATAAAAAGAAAAGAAACCTACGCCTACAAATGTTTAAAAAGTACGCACGAGTCGCTAGATACACACGCACACAAAACTGCATTTACGCACAGATCCGGTGTTGCGTCATATTTCACCCATCAGATACCATTCACCCTGTTTTACAGTGGGGGAACAGTATCTGATGGGGAAACGCGGATTGACGTAACACCGGTTACGAGTGCACAAGTATTTTTGAGTCTCATTTCATGCTTCTGAAGCTCCCAGATTTGTGTGTAGATGGTGGGTCATGTGGAAAGCTGGGTCATCTCATTTTTGCTCTGAGTGTAGTGTTTTTATCCTTTGAACGTTTCTCACTGTGCTTGTGCCGAAGTGGCAAATGCGTTCAGTGGAAAACGGAATATCTCAGCACTTCCTTATAATATTCCAAAATTGTTTATAGACATATTGTGCATTTTTGAGCGGTACAGGAGACTAAGTGGTCTGAAAAATGACCACTGGGTGGCAGAATGGTTCGCTGGCCGGAAAAATAGGCAGGCAAACCAAGAAGCAAGACGGAGCATCCCTGTGGTCTGTCCTCTGAAGTAAGTAGAAATTAAACCAGTGGCTCAAAAAGTGGGTATGCAGCGCATGCAACGCATAGGGGCGCTGCACCAGAGGGGGCGTCAATTTATGTTTTCGCATCCACCTGAATAATATGTAGTTGCGCCCCTGAGTTAAACCTGCGCACTTTGCTCTCTGATTATAATGAGACATCAAGTAATTATAAATAATTTCAGATTACGTTTTGTATGTCTGGTACTCTGCCCTCCTTATATGTTTCTGTTAGCAGGAGCAAATGTTTAGGTGAGCTATGCGAAGTTAGTTATTGGGAGCTGAGTCCGTGGATTTTTAATGTCACTGCACAGTTTGAGTCTTTAATCCATAAAAATTATCTCTAAGTGAAATTAATTGGCTATCGATTCTAATTTATTGAATTTATATGTGTATAAATAACATTTTGTATTTACTGATGGATTGGGTCTGGTGTTGTTTTACTTACTGGAGGATCAGAACCTTTCAGATCTCATCAACACATTGATCCAATTGAGCTGCTGCAGGAAAACACTGATCCTTTAACAGGGATCTTTAGATGCATGCATTGATGTCCTGCAACATTTAGATATGCCCTGATCCAACACACCTGAATCAAATGGCTGGTTAGGACAGTCAAGTTGTCCAGAATTGTGCTAATGACCTCTGACCTCATGATTTGACTCGCGTGTGCTATAACAGAGACATCTAAAAGTTGGAGAACACGACCCTCCTGAACTTGAGTTGAAGACCTGCTGTACAATTTTCACACAATTGTAATCACATTTACTTGCATACAGTGGAAGTACCTACCTGTGGTGAGGTAGTTGAGGAGTTTTCATAGTGTCTTTACTTTAAAACCATTTTGGTTTCCATTTGTAGAAAGTAAATTACAAACATTTACCCATAGTTTGACCACTGCTTTATGGCAGAAAAAAACTTTTGTCCCAAATATATAATTTTATTAAAGACATATTTCAATTTATACTGTAGAAAGAAGATGACAAAAGTGTTTACTGAATTAACTTTAATGTTTACCTCACTGCACACAAAGGACAGATGGAATATTTAAGATTTACCCAAATCTGTTGAATCTTTGACAAAATAGATTCAAATTAACATGGGTGGTTGCACAGCTACCTAAAGTTAGCAATGAAATGTCTTAAAACTTACATGAATGTTCAAATATTTACTATAATCGGTTAACAAAAGAAAATACCATAAAGCTGTGTATTCAAAGAAGACCAAGGTCAGTCTGTACAGATTAAGGAGACACCACAACATCTACCAACTGAGCAGGTTAATTACTGTAGTTGTTTGAAAGGAGCCTTGGTCCTGTTGACAGCACAATTTAAAGTTTCAGGTTTTGGTGTTGAACCTCCCAGAATCTCAGCTGCTGCAGATTGTCTGAAGGTGCAGAGAAAAGTACAAATAGACAGTTGGTGTTAAGAGAAAATTTATGTTGATTTTCCTGAACAGCTGATGCACTGACAAACCTGACTTTGACAGACCATCACTGAACCTGAAAATTACTTGAATCATCACAATGTTTGTAGAAATGTTTCTTTTTATGTTGATCAAATATGTACGCACTAAATGTTTTGCTGTTAAGGCTATTTTGCAGTGGTACTTTAAATAAATGCATAACATATTTATTTTCTTAAGTATGTCTTTATTAGCTGTTAATTGTGTCAAAATATCAGCTGAGAAAGAAATTTACTGCTTGTGAAAATCTGAATATATTTTACCATCTACATTAATCAACTTGAAATGAAGATAAACAGGAAAAGCAGGTTAGTCCTGGTTTGCAGATGAGGTATACATTTGTTTAAGGCCAGATGAAATGGCGTTTCTGTGGATTTCAGAGATCCAGACACAAACACAGTTTAATCTGAAGATTCTGGAGGATGTGTGAATAGGTTTGTCATCAATCAATCAATCAATCAATCAATCAAATTTTATTTGTATAGCACATTTCAGCAGCAAGGCATTTCAAAGTGCTTTGC